TGTGTGTGTTTGTGTGGTTTCCACAAAGAAATGTAGAAAACACAAAAGATTACAACACTGTAGAACATCACTGAATTAAATTAGCCTATACACTTTACACATAAATCACATTTCTTATCAATATACATTTAATGATTAACAATAAAGATTAATAATAAGGAAAAGAGGCACATCACATTACTACGTCGTTGAAGCCTGTCCTACTGTAGATAAACAGAACATCCCCGCTTATTAACTAACAATAATGCTCAAAGAAGCACAAATAAAGATATAGGTGCAAACAGAATACAGTGACGTCAACCTTGGTTTTAATAAGCAGTTATTATTTTATGACACAGAACGCGTTGGTGAAACTCATGCATCTAGCAAGAACTTAATACACAAAATAGTCATATTGATTCAAGCATTTAACATTTATGAATGAATTAAATGTCAGTAGCCTAATGAACAATACTGTACAAATTATAGCGATCACGAGGTCGGTCATATTCTATCCCAAACGCGTAGAGTAAAGTGGACATACAGCATAGCCTACAACTCCCCATCAGTCATATTCAGGTCAATAGTGCCATCTGTTGGCGCAGTTTTGTAACTTAGAGAACAACTTTTTTTTTGTCGTTATAACGAGAAAACAACTCTCGTTATGTCGATATAACGAGAAAATTAAGTCGTTATAACAAGAAAACAACTCTCGTTATGTCGATATAACGAGAAAATTAAGTCGTTATAACAAGAAAACAACTCTCGTTATGTCGATATAACGAGAAAATTAAGTCGTTATAACAAGAAAACAACTCTCGTTATGTCGATATAACGAGAAAATTAAGTCGTTATAACAAGAAAACAACTCTCGTTATGTCGATATAACGAGAAAATTAAGTCGTTATAACAAGAAAACAACTCTCGTTATGTCGATATAACGAGAAAATTAAGTCGTTATAACAAGAAAACAACTCTCGTTATGTCGATATAACGAGAAAATTAAGTCGTTATAACAAGAAAACAACTCTCGTTATGTCGATATAACGAGAAAATTAAGTCGTTATAACAAGAAAACAACTCTCGTTATGTCGATATAACGAGAAAATTAAGTCGTTATAACAAGAAAACAACTCTCGTTATGTCGATATAACGAGAAAATTAAGTCGTTATAACAAGAAAACAACTCTCGTTATGTCGATATAACGAGAAAATTAAGTCGTTATAACAAGAAAACAACTCTCGTTATGTCGATATAACGAGAAAATTAAGTCGTTATAACAAGAAAACAACTCTCGTTATGTCGATATAACGAGAAAATTAAGTCGTTATAACAAGAAAACAACTCTCGTTATGTCGATATAACGAGAAAATTAAGTCGTTATAACAAGAAAACAACTCTCGTTATGTCGATATAACGAGAAAATAAGTCGTTATAACGAGAAAACAAGAAGGGAAAAAAAAATAATGCATGGTCGCTTAGAACTTCCGTATTTTACTGTATTTTTGACATTGGTATTTTTTATCAACTAATGCAACCTTCCTGAGCATAAAAGACTCAAAAAATCTCACCAACCACAAACCTTTGTTCTGTAGTATATTTATGTGATATATAATGTACATAATTAAATAATTTAAATCACATAATTTAAAATTCATGTTCATTTAATTATTTTGAATATAAAAGATCTTCATTCAAGTATCAGCGTTATCTCTGATATTTCTCCTTAGGGGACATATAAATGGAGTGGCAGTTGAGTACAGAACTATGAAATTGGTGTCTATAGCACAGTTCAGATATTTTTGACTAGTGTATTTGATAAGAAACATTTTATTTCATATAACTTTTTTATACTTTTATTTTTTGAAATGATTAACTTCTGCAATAATCTGCTGATTGTCTTCTTTAGAAAGTTAAGGGGTTAAATCTAAGATTGTCATTATTCTTGGCAAATCTGAGTCCAGAATGAGACATTGTTGAGATATCTTCTGAAACTCAGAGGCATATACAATATGTGCATAGGGCTTTCTTATTTGGGAGAAAAATCTTAGAAGCAGAAGAAGCGAAAGTCTCCAGTTGCTCTCCGTTTAATCTCATTGCTGAATAAGAGAAACAATTGAGATATTAAAAAGATTTTGTTATTTTTCTTTCTTAAATAGGTTTACTGTCAGAATACACCATGTCTGTTTTGTTTTTTATTAAATATATATTGTTGTCATTCATGTGGTCTAATAGTTCTTTCTGGTTCTTTCAGTTTTTTGTGATCCTCTTGTTTCTAGTCCTGATAGAAGTGGCACTGATTTTGGTTTTGAGTGTGTATCATGAAGAGGTGAGGGATTAATGTCTGAGCCTTGCAAATATTTCAGCCTTTCCTTTCAGGAAAACACTTTGCCTTCAACTTCCTGTTTATCCGCTTCTCTCTCTGTTTTGTCCGTTTAGTTGGACAAGAAAGCCAAGGATGACCTAAGAGAGGGAATGAAAGACTATCTCACAAATGAAGGGCTAAAAAAATCCTGGGACAACATGCAGAGAATTGTGAGTTGAATTGATAACAGTCACAAATATGAAGGCTGAGATACTTCAGTGTGAATTATGGATTCTGTTTCCTTCAGTTCAAGTGCTGTGGCGTGAGCAACCACACTGACTGGCACAACAAAACGTCCAGTGGCAAACTTCCTGACTCCTGCTGCAGGGATAATACTGAACGCTGCCATCACTGGGAAGAGGTCAGATCATTTCTGGGGTCGTGGGGTTAGCTAACTACCACACATTCCTAAATCCCACCAACTATTGGTAATTGCAACCATATGCATAGCGTAAAATGAAAGCCAGAACAAACCCTACATAGATCTGTTAATTCTCTTTGTTATATGGCTCTTTTGTTGTTTTTCATGAAAGAGTCATGAAAAACAACGTATCATGGTTTCTACAAAAATATTAAGCAGCACAACTGTTAACGATGAGAAATGTTTGTTCAGCAGCAGATCAGCATATTAGAATGATTTCTGGATGATCATGTGACGCTGAAGACTGGAGTAACGGCTGCTGAAAAATCAGCCTTGCCTCACAAGAATAAATAAATAATTACATTTTATGTCCATTTATTTATTTATTTGGTAGTCATGCTATAAGCAAAGATCATGTACTTCCATCCAATCATTATTGCAAAAGAAACTGTTTTAGGCCATGTCCGGGTTTATTTTGTGATAATGAGCAGCTGACTGAACCTTTTTATTCTTTTTAAATGTGTCTTAGCCATGCTATGAGAAGGCCAAAGACTGGCTCCTGGCTAACATAACCTCAGTGCTTGGGTTTGGAGTTTGCATTGGAATCGTTCAGGTACCTTGAAAATCATGTTTCTCATATAGTCTGATTATTATACAAGCGCTGCATGCACTCATATATAATGTGACTGCATTTTCTTCCTCCAGATTCTTTCTTTGGTGTTCTCCATGCTGATGTACTGCCAAATCCTACGAGCAGAAAAATACATGGACTGACCCTACCTTTGCCCCATTGTGCCAGGGGCTCTTTAAAACATAATTCTGAATATGTAATAAATGTTTAAACAGACTTGCCTATTAGAGATACTGGATGAGATATGCATGTGCACATAAATTATGCCGTTGCACTTAGGAAGAAGCTCAGATGAATTTCTGCTAAATTAATTTACCAGGTAAATGCCTAAATAATTAAAATGTACTTAGGAAAAGATGATTAAATGAATATAAACTGAATGTATACAGTAGGTGGAAAAGTAAATCCTAGTATTATTGCAGTCCTTAAATACCCTTATAACTGCTTGCGATTAAATGGAAATCAAATGTTTAAGAGTTGATGATTTGTTATACTAAACCAATTATCTGTACTATATTAATGTCTATTAATATATTAATGTAATTACAACTAAATAAGGATGCAATACAACAGTAGATGATTGAAATAATGTATTTTTGTATAAAAGACACATAAAAAATTCCAAAACATCCATAATACAAAAGAATAAATACATCAGCAGAGAAACCATATAATCAAGTAGTGTCAGTTGCCCAGCTGGCTGGTTCTTGTTCTTTCTTTCCTCACAGAGGTCATACTACATGAGTTCATAATGATTTAGTTCATGGAGTTCATCATGATCAGATCTACTGTAAGGTCAATGACTGAGGTCAATCACACTCCAGAACCTCATCCAATTGTGCAATGTTCCCCTGTGAATGAAAACACCAAAAACAGTTTACTTGACAACTCTGCCCCCTTCTGGAGGAAAATAACAGATGCAAAACAGACTGAATATCCCAAAGACTGAGGAAAATACTAAAAGTAGACAGTAAAACCTGCTCACCCATCCTCCATGACTCCTCACCCATGGTGCAAAGCTCTCCATGTAGCGTTCAGCATACCCCGTCAGACGCTGAACTCCAGTCGCTGTGACCACTCGTCGAGACACATCCATGGTGATGGCAAGACGCCGCAACGTAGGGCTGACCGGTGCTGGAGCGGGGGGTTCTTCACTCTGGCTGGCGTATGTGTCAAGGAGTTTGGCAAAGGATGGGTAGGAGAGGCGTGTGAGGGTGGACCGCAGGAAGGGACTGGCATTTATCTACAACATTAAACACCAATAAACAATGATAAACACAAAGTAACTAACTAAAAATAACCATAAACAGTCAAAACACTGTTTATGTCAGAACATTTTTATGATGAGAACCAAGAGCCAGTTTAAGATTACTCTATATCCCAGTAAGACGTGTCAAAAAAAAAAAAATTTTCATGAATGCCAAACTCAGGGATCATTACCTTCTCGTTTATGACATCCCCCTCTGAAGTCAATATCTGAACTAGCTGATGAACCACAGCCTCTTTGTCATTGTCTGTGATGAAAAGAAGAAGTGTAACATAATCTCTAAACAATACAAGTTTGGGGGGGGGGGGCATCAGCTGGACCATCAATCCATTATAACAATAAGCTATTGTTAAAGAACTGAACATCCATTTCTGTACCTAAGACAACAGGTCTGTTTAGTATTCAACTGCTCTTGTTTTGATATTCCACTGTAAATGGAATATCACACACATTATGATAAAATTCAAATATTGTACACATTATGATAAATGGTTTTACATGTACCTTTAAGTGCACTTGGCACAGGCTCTGGCTTAACAGGGGATTTCTTTTTCACACTGTGTTTGTGTGCGATTCTGTCCAGAGTTTCTGCTACACCGTCATAAAACTCAGGTGGATGGGCTGAGATCAAACATATCACATCATATCACATGCAGAGTCCACACACTATCATTCTAAAGTTTGGGGTCAGTAAGATTTTTTCTATTTCATGCATTCTGACTTATTTACACTGTTAAAGAGTTGGATTCTCATGCTAAACATGGCCAAAGTTTCAAAAAACGATTTGAATGTATGACGGAGTATTTCTGTGTCAAATACACTCCTTCCGGGTTTGAATAAGTTTTGGAAAGTTTTTTTCGAGCTTGGCTCTTCATGATGTCATGAAGGGCGGAATTCCTTGCATGGGCAGTTCTCCCGGAAGAGCGCACGCACACATTGACCAGAGCCATAGCGCGACCATCAACGTTCTTCATTCGGCAGCGCTGCACAGAACTCGCTCCAGAAGAATGCCTTCCAAGAAGTGTGTTTTTGGTTGTGAGGGAAAGATAACCTTGATCAGCTTCCCAGAGAACCAAGTGTTACGTGAACAGTGGATGCAGTTTGTTTTTCCGGGACAGCAATGGAGTTTCACACGTGTGTTTGCTTGTTCCCGTCATTTCAGTGACAAATGTTTTATAAACAAGGCCCAGTTCGATGCTGGATTGCTTTGCAATCACAGGAATAAATTACATTTTTAAATATATTCAATTAGTAAACAGTTACTTTATACTCTAATAACATTTCACAATATTGCTGTTTTTACTGTATTTTGGATCAAATAAATGCAGCCTTGGTGAGCATAAGAGACTTTTTTCAAAAAAACATGTTTAAAAAATCTTACCGACCCTACTGAACAGGCATAATAAGACAATATAGAAAACATTCTTAACAGTGCCTCCTGTGTCTCAACTTCTATATCCATAAAACAAGTTAAAGAAATTCTTTTACATCTGAAACTTACATGGTGAAACAGAATGACCCTCAGGTTGTGGAACATCTGTAGCACCTTTGAAAGGCAGAGAGGCTGGGCGCTGAGGACGAGGCTCTTCTTTTTTTAATGATACTTTTTTGAGTATATCAGATATTTTCAGTTTTTTCTTCTTTTTCTTATTTTTGTCCCCTGGTTTTCTGTCACCTTCTTCTTCAGATGCAGAAGATGGTGCAAATATCTCTTCCTAAAAGAAAATTTCTCATTAACAAGTAGTTCTGAAGAGCAATGTTAAAACGTGCTGTTAAGAAAGAAGAAATTAAAAATGAATGCATTTTGGCTCCTTGGCTGGCCAGGAAATTTTTAATACTGAACACATAAATGCTTTTAATTAGCTTTGCAGTTCATTCACCGAATAAAACAAGAGCAGGTTTTGGTCTCTACAGGTATAGTCAACAGTGTAGACAATGCATATTTATTTTGGTGCCGATATTAAGAGGTTACACACTACCAGCATGAGCTACTTGCTAGGTTTATTGTCTATATTCTTACCTGTTTGGTACCATTTTACTTTTTTGAGTTCTCAAAATTTGATGTTTTTTAGTTAGAAGTTCATGATTACTCTGTCTCCTAATTTGTCTTATCCAAGCATGGTCAGATTTGTCTGTAAGCATATTTTGGCATCTGTCTATAGTCTCACCCAACATAAATGGTTTTTAAAAAAATTCTACAATTTTAATTTTAATTTGTGGTAAAATCTAAAACTTGAGAGGTTCAGTTTGGTTCTGGTTTCTAAACAAAATTGGTTTAGATTTCAGCCTATGCAGCCAGTGAGTATAGGCCTACTACAGCCATCTAGTGGCCATTGATATTTCATGTAATTGCTATTTTTAAACCATTATATCACCAGATGTCGCCAAAGTATACCACATTTTGAGGATTTGGATGTTTTAACTTCCTGGAATTAATATTTTTACTGTAGTAAAAAAAGAAGAAGCATATTTTACATTAAAGTCAATAGAGTAATTTTGTAATTTTAGAGGGAAATATGTTCAAAAATACCACAAAAAACTAAATCACAAAAGAAATGCATACATTGATTGTTTTTACTTAAGTGAAGATAGTGTTGTGACATTTAAAAAAAAATTTAAGGATCACACCTGAGACATTTGCACCCAAATTTGTCCACGAAGGACTCATTAAGGGCTGCTCTGTGAAGGATGCTTGAGGGTTAAAGGTGTTGATTATCAAAATAATTTGCAGTGCATGTTTTTCTGAAGCAACATAAAATGAGCAAATAGAGCAAATTACATACATATTATCTAACAAAAACAAAAAAGCGCTGTTGCTTTGGATTATAAAAAAGGCCTTAGGTTTGTGATGTTTACCTCTGCTTTCCTGGGTAAACTGTGTGTTCCATTTGTTGATGGCTTGTCAGACTGGCCCGGCTGACTCTGCTTCTCCAGGGTGTTGTTTGGAGTCGGGTCAGAACTGCCGTCTTTCTTAGCACGGCGGATCATAGAAGAACGGGATCTTAGTCTTCTTTTTATTAAATTTTTAATTCCATGTTTCTTTTCCTCTGCTGCACTGATCTCCTCATCCAAAGAGTCCCATCCATTCACGTCTTTCTTCATTTTGTCTTTTGTTGAGGCACTAAAAGGAGAAAGATGGGTCATTCTTTTCATTTTCATGTTAACAAAATAAACTTTCTTGAAGATGCAAATTAGTTAGTTCACCCAGAAACAAAAAAATCTATCATCATTTACTCACCCTCAAGTTGTTCCAAACCTGCATGAGTTTGTAGTCCCCACTGACTTCCATAGTATTTTTTCATACTATGGAAGTCAGTGGGGAGCAGCAAATCTTTGGTTACCCACATTCTTCAAAATATCTTCTTTTGTGTTCAGTAGATGAAAGAAACTCATATAAGTTTAGAACAACTTGAGGGTGAATAATTGATGACAGAATTTAAATTTTTGGGGTGAACTACCCCAATTTGCATGTTCATATAATTAAGGATAACAGAATTGGTTTGGTCCAACATTAGATGACTTGTTCCCCTGCACTACTGAATAAATGAAGTTAGTAGGAAGGATCACAATTGTGAGGTTAGCAGCAGTTCATCTTTCCATTCCATCTTCTACTTCTTTTTTCTAAATTAGGTTAAAATTGAATAAAATATATTGCGAATAAAAACTTCTGGACTGACTTTTCAAGTGCCAGCCAGATAAAACAATATAAAAGGAATTAAAGAGTCCAAAAAATATGCTTCAGAGACAGGTCAGAGAGATTATAATAATCTCCAATGTTTGCTTACTACAAATCTACTGTATAATTGTCTTGTTTATGTTTGTGATATTCAGTGATACTTACAAAATGAGTTGTTTTATTTTGCATCATTATAGTGTTTCACTGTGTGTGTGTTTGAATTATATATGTGTCACCTGTATTTGTTTGGGTCGCTGTACTCTCCTCCTATCCTTCCAGGCCTCTCTCCAGGAGGAATCGACAGAGAGTGACGCAGAAAAGACTTCAGCACCAACCGCGTCTCCGCTTTGATCTCCAGGAGAGAGAAGGAGGGTGAGGGGGAAGCAGGCCTGACCACCACGTCTGCCATCGCTGAGACAGAGAGAAAACGAAAACTCTTTCAAATGTGAGGACACTTTCATATTATGCAACAATACAAAACACCACTCCAGAATTCCCACAA